TCCTGTGTGCTCACATGCTCTGCATACATCCATGTGATGTTTGCAAATGTGTGTGTGCTATCATGTTCTACTCTCTGTGTATGTGTCAGGTGTAAGGGGTGTTGGTGGGCGCATGTGTGTGTGTGTGTGTGTGTGTGTGTGTGTGTAAGAAACTTCAAAGATGGCCGGCTCATTGGAGGCGCTAGTCGTTAACATTCCGTCCTCCAAGACACCGTATGATTGTTTAAGTGGACAGATACTGTGTGAGAAGAGAGAAAGAGTGTGCATTCACAAATGAAAATTCTTCCTTCAAGGTTATTTCCTCTCTCTTCTTACTCTTAAAGGTGGGGTAGGGGAGTTTGAGAAACCGGCTCGAGATTTTTGTTATATTCCATGGAATGCTCTTAACATCCAGATAGCAATGAATATATGAAATGCTTTGACAAAAAATCTATAAAAAATGTCATCTGTGGAAGCCGTAGCGCTGTAAAAAGCACAACCAATCATTTTAGCCGGCCCGGCTAAAGTAACTGGATGGCCTACCTGCCTGTCAGCCTTCTATCTGTGCACAAACTTCTCTCGTGCCCTCATTGGTCATGTGCGCGTTCGTGTGTGTTGGAGGAGGGGCTCTGTAAGGAAGTGGCAGATTTTTTCCGGTTGTGTATTTTCAAATTCTAGCGCATTCAAGCTGGTTTCTCCAAAATTACCCCACCTTTAAAAACAACACACTCCTTTTGTTTCATTGTCACAGATGTCCTTCTCTTCTTCTCTCTCAGAGTACAGTGCTGAGGGATGTGCTGGATTTTCTGACAATAATGTTTTTTCTTGAATCCACTTGCTTGCTTGCTGATGGCCTCCTCATGCCCCCCCATCTATCCTCCCACATCCTTCCCTTCCTGGCCCTGCCGTCCTTCTAGCTTTCTCCGCTCTGTCCACCCACGCTGCATCTGAACTGAGCCTGGCAGAACTAAAATGAGGGAACGCCTCAATTACCATTTTGTTAATTAAAACGATTTTCCTGTGCATGCAAATACATTCAAGAAATGAATGCATGTGAGAGCATTTGATATAATGCTCTATTACTAATGAATTCCATCAAAGATCCTTAAAAGAAACATTACTTCCTTCTGCGACTGATGCAGATATCTCACAGCTATACTGTAGCATGCATCGCTTTAAATGGTGTTTAAATCTTTAAAGTTGCATGCAAATGCTGCTCACTAATAAGCTGATCACACCTCATAGTGTAATAACAGTCAAATACAGACTCAAACATTCAAACTAATGTACGATTTAACAATTCATGAGACAAAATGCACCAACTAACATAGCAATGTTGTAGGAAATGAATGTGATAAAATACAACTTTTACTTTATCTAACTTTGAAGCGCTTGACACCAATTATTTTTGATTTATTCTCTGTAAGGGCTGTGAGATGTTCAGAGGGTGACAGCTAAATAAGTCAGATTTATCTCAAACTTACAGCTCGCATGTAAACACAAGCACATCAAAATATTGTGAAAGGAAAGCAAAAACATTTTCAACCAAGGCTGAATGACACTGTGGATCAGAGGCAGGCAGAGAATGAGTTCTATGAGCTGTGTGAAAAAGGCTGCATTTAATATTGAGGGTGGGATGCTGAACAAGTGACGTTCTGCACAAAGATTTGTAACGCTGACCTAAAGATTTACATGGATTTGGAAAAGACTTCCACCAACCGGTTTGTTTGGTAGGGATGACTCCCATGCCACCTTTTAGGGAAATAGATCGATTGAGAGACACTAATAGAGAGGTAGCAGACAGCGATTGGCAAGGGCAGGACTGCCTGCAGGCTAAATGACAAATATTTGATCGTATAATCTCCCAGCTTTACTCCATTTAACAGAGAAAGGACAACTTGATGGTAAGGGTGACAGGAAGTCAGGAGTTATTTTCACAGAGATGTAAACAAAGGGGAGGAAAGATGTGAGGGAGAAACCTACAGCTAAGTGATGAAAGGAGCAAAAAGCTGAACGTGACAAGGCAGGAGAAAAAGACCCTAGACTAAATTAAAGTGGCCATGAACGTGTGTGGATATCAGCCTGATAGATATGGGTCAGAAGGTGGGCTTGCTACACCTAGATGAGTAACTACTTTAGAATAATCCATTAATTATAAATCAGGCTCAGCACAAAAGCTCTGCTGCGGCCTCAAAATGTGCTCCGCCACACACAGTGACATGGTGTGTGTCCTGAGGGAAAGTGCGGATAGGGTCTCGTACCCAATATTTCACATTTTAGTTGGCAGCCAGCTCACTGATAATACATTATGAAAAGCACAATTTTGGGGAAAAAACATTCACCAGTTTCCTTTCTTCCCCCAAGGAGTAGAAAATCTACACTCTGACTTTTCGGGGAAATGTCAAGTAAGCCAATATGTCAGCAGATTTTGGGAGAATGTGACAAACTTGTCTTTATTCGTGTTTCAGTCACTTTAGTTGCTCCCTTGCTATTTGCAGTTGTGAATAGATGAGAAGGGGACGGACGCAGGGAAACTGAGTAGAGAGGACAGAGCAATACCAAGGTTTTCTCCACTGTTTGCAAATGTCAGCTGCAACTAAGCATGTGACACAATGTGTGTGTGCAGCTGCATACTGATGGGCTTTCAAATTCTCTCTGCATGTGTTCTTACATATAAAGTAGAAGTAAAGGAAGAAAGTTTTGTAAAAGATGGAACTAAATAAATATTGTGGTTGTATTAACCTTAGGAGATAGCATTAAAACAATCTTTTGGAGTCCTACATTGTTTAAGAGTCAAATTAGGAGCGTTTATTTGAGAAATTGCAGGTTCGATTCCGCCCCTTGTGACCTTTATTTCATTTCATACCCCTCTCTTAATCTCACCCTTTACTGCAGTGTCCTCCACCAACCCTTTTAGTTGTTCTTCACTTCTATGTCTGTCAAATTTCATTTTCAACTAATGTATCCGTAAAAAAGTCATAATCAGCACACAAATATTAAGTTATGGCTCATAGTG